ATGAAGTCTTTTGGAGGTGAGTAGAAGACGCTTTCTTAAAATCTCAGCTTCCTAGGTTTCTTGTTCTCGATTCACTAAATTTCAGGTCAAAAACCTCACGTGCCCCTAGTCGTGCACGGGGGCTGAATTCGAAATCTTCTGGTTATATATGAGTAGAGAATATCACTCTACGATTTCGGTTTTCTAGTTTTTCTCACTCCCAAGTCAACAATTTCCCCGCCGAAATTTTCACGTGCTCGTATGTGAGATGTAGCTGTGTGCGGTAGTTGATGTCATGTTCCTGGCTTCGCATTTGGCCTGAGAATGCTCTGGCAAAATTTCAGTATCAAAGCCTGCGTGTTTGCTGAATAGAAACACCTGAACAGATCAACACATACACAAACACACAGACAGAATCACCACAATAGCAAAACCGCATAACAAGGAGGATTACACGACCGATCGAATGTGCGTACTTCCATACATGTGGGACGTCTCCACAGGCCGAGAGCTGCCAAGCCAGACCCATCGACTTTGGACCATCTCCGGTTAGTAGCCACTGCTTGCTCAATGCATGTAAGCCATTTTTCTTTAGGCCGCCCAAACGGATGTTTCCTTTTTTGCAAGCACCACTCGCTAATACACCACAGTTTTCAGTAACGCAAGCAACATATCCTGCCCATCGGACTTTACTTTCTCTCACAACAGCAATGGTATCTCGCGTTACTCACATAAGTGAAAGTCTGACAGCTTATACATGTGGACAATCGGCGGTCCACGGGCCGGATCCTGTCTTATTCTGGCCCGCGGAGGGAATCGGAATGTGGTGCCTAACTGAAACGAACGGGAAGCTTGTATTCTGCCGCGCCTCCGCACTTTCATAAAAATAAATAAAACCAAAATACGCACGAGGCTAACAGACGACAATCTGGAAATACCTTGAGACTCCGTGTCAGTGATATAAATCCAGATTTCAACATCTTGTGTCAAAATTTTAAACCCAGAACTCAAACTAACCCGCTGTTGTTTATTTTTTTTACAGAATGAACATCCTGATAATGACTTATCTCTTTTTATGTGTTTTTGCGTCTTGCACAAATGCAGCACGCATAATGTCGGGACCATGTCTGTTTGTGTGTGTATGTGTGTTCAGCAGCGAGTAAACTTTGTCACCCACTTTCAACTCAGCAACAGGGATGACCATGATGCAACACTATCGTCCAGCCGATGCCCCTTTCTCCTGCATACAAGAAAAGACCAAAACAAAGGCATATGAGCTGCACGTGTTAAATTGTAAAGCAATAAACACTCATACTTTTAACGATCTGACTGCGTCAAGCCTAGCGCAAAAACACATAGCCGCACGGGCAAACCTGGTGCGTTGCTACCTGGATTTTAGTAAAAGGTGGCCCGCGAATTTAAACAAGTATTCAAATCAGGCATGCGTGCCGCAGAGGTTACGCATGCCTGGCTTATACAAGTACAAATAGGCAATAGTCCTAGCAACCCTCGCAGCTAGGATTATTGCTTTCCATCCCACAGCCATTGCGTCGTCCCTGTAGCCTTCTGAATGACCATATTCCGGCAATTACAACTTAGTCGAAAGTGTACCGGCTGCCGGTACGAGGATGCGTTTTTTGCACAGTTCCCCCCGCAGGTTTTTTTCGCCAGTGGTACACTCTTTCTGGCAGATGCTTCTAGCCAAAAGAATTGTGACTGGCCACCACGACTGTTAGAAATTATTACAATGACTCCCAGTCCATGCCCAAAAAATTCAGCGCTCTGGATTCTTCGGTTGCGGCGTTACACCACATTCCACGTGTTCGCACGTGAGTGGCAACGTGAGTGTTTTCTTCGCTTGGGGTTACTTAAAAGACGGCCTTAGGTAGTGCTCAAAAAATTTCAGTACTCAAGCTGCTCAGGTTGCAAAGTTACGTCAAATTTCACATGTTCGTACGTGAGTGGCAACGTGAGTGCCTTCTACGCCCACGGTTAGTCAAACACGGTCCTGGGTAAGTTTCAGCACTCCAGCTGCTCTGGTTGCAGAGTTACGTCAAACTTCACGTGTTTGTACGTGAATGGTAAAGTGAATGCTTTCTTCACTTGCGGTTACTCAAACACGGCCCTGGGTAACGCTCAGAAAATTTCAGCACTCCAGCTGCTCTGTTTGCAGAGTTACGTCAAATTTCACGTGCTCGCACGTGGGTGGCAACGTGAATGCCTTCTTCGCCTGCAGCTGGTCCAACACGGTCCTGGGTAGCACTCAAAAAGTTTCAGCACTCCGGCTGCTCTGGTTGAGGAGTTACTC